ATAGTCATACCTTTTTCTAGAGTATTTCCTCAAAACCTGTGGTTACAGCTGTTACACACATTCTGAAGGGCAGTGAAAGAAATCTCAATATAAAACTTATTTGGTTTAAAAATTAACATCTTACTTTTTTAATTCACCTTGACTTTGTTTCCTAGTGCTTTCCTCCATGTAATAAATACGTGTGATTTCTCACTTGTGAATGCAAAGACTGAATGCAAACCTAACCAGCTGTTATCAGAGTGGGACGACTTGAGTTGCTAAAGAATTCACTGTGTAACTTTTTTTTTGTCTGGGTGTGACTATGGGGCTTGTGCTTTCACTTGTATTTACCTGATAGGCAAACATGATGCAGTTGCTTCCCTGACATAAAATTTGTGTGGGTTTGCTTCAATTTTTTCCCCTCCAAAGCTACCAGTCATATTTCATTCTCATGCATTCAGTTGATGGTGCAGAGGAGTTGGTCAGTTTATTTTTTTGCATTGGCTACACGTGGGATTTAACTGGGGTTGGTAAAAGCATGTTAGAGTCTTGACTGAAATTTCATTTAAATATTTGGGAAGAAAGGTAGGAATTGTGAATCAGCATGACTATCCACAGATTTTGCTAAAAGAAATGCAGAATTATTAAACAGCAAGTGATAACTGGATAAAGAGAATTAAGCAGGAAAGGAATTGCTAATTGGTTATAGAATTTCATTCCTTTCCATTTCTGACTTGAATCAAACCTGTCATTGATAGGAAGTGGGCATCTCATGTCTAGTTTTTCCTTGTAATTCACTTAAGTTCCCACACAGACCACTACCATGGAAAGAATCTATGTTACTGGTTTGTTTGGAGAGGCTGGGGACTGCTGAATGATCTTGAAATCCTCCTTTTTATTAGGGAGGATTTCTCAACTTCTTGCCTGTAGTGTATAGCTTGAGGTATATTGCAAATGCTGCTTGCTTATATTTTGGGACTGAACTACAGAATTCAGGTTCTTGGTGCAGTTATTCAGAGGTGGGGAAAGCCGATTGTCAGCGATGAGTTTCACCACTGTTTTACTTCTCATAGAGCACTTGTAGATGTTAATTATTGATTTATCCTTCTTGAGGGCTGAGAAATAGTAGTTCAGTTCACTTGTCAAATAGTCCAAGAAAAAACAATGGAAATAAAAGGCACTTACACAATTTTATAGCTGTATCTTAATCACTTGCACAACTTGACAGCAAGACTTATGTTCTGTATTCCTTTTAAAACATCATGTAGATTTTGGAGAGTCCCACCCACCAGTTTCCTGTAATTGAAGCTCAAAGTTTGGAACATTGCCAGAAATGTGTGAGGATGAACAAAATCTCTACCCAGGGGATTCTTTCTGGCTCTGTTAATTACCAGTCAGAGATGGAAACTCGCCTTGAATTTTCAGTAACTTTGTCACTGATGGACTTCATCAGGTAAATTAAAAAAGCTGCAGTTTTTAAAAACACCTGTACTCAACTCAGTATTAGAAAAGGGCAGGATGATTTGGGTATTGACTATGAAAATATAAGGCTCCTTCTTGGGCACCTAGTTTTAATCTGAGATTACTGTTAAAGATAATAAAGGGTTATTTTACACTTCCAAAAGGGGCAAAGTTCCAGCAAGAAGTACAAATCCAGTGAGAATATTGACAGTAGCTGCAGGTTAGAATAGTGTTGGACTACAGAATATGTTTTTGAGGAGGCTGAAAACTGAGCGAACAGAAGGGAATGCTGTTTTAAAATATGGCATAATGTAAACATGTCAAACCGAAACAAGTAATTTGAGTGCAGGGACCAGAATGTTAGGTGAAAAGCTGACAACTTTTGCAGAGGAAGAAGAAAGCTCATTCTTTTAGTTTCTGAACACTGCATTTATTTTAGGAGTAGAAAAAAAAGCATCCTTTTTTTCAGCAGACTTTTCTTTTTGAAGTGAAATCCATAAATTTATTCTTTTAGAATTTAGAAATCTAAAGCAAGGAATAGAAACTTTTGTAAATGTTAAGAGGAGTTTGTTTAAACTAATGTGAGTTTGCTTATTGCTTGTCCAGTTGCTTCCAGATAGGAATTTTTTTTTTTGTGACCCAAATATATTCTTGCATATGTCATTTTGCTAAAATATGTGGTGATCTTCTTTTTAGGCCAATGGAAATGACTACAGAAGACTTTGGAAAGCTGTGGTTGTCCCTTTCCAATGATGTGAAACAGAATATAAAAATGTTGTCTTCCCAAGATTCCCTTTCAGCAGCCTTGAATACACTGCAACAGAAGCTGAAACTCCATATAGTTGACATTATAGGTAAGTGAAAGTATACTATAGGTAGTATACATATAGTATATAACTTTTTCCACAAAAATAAGTGAGTATCTTAAAGTTTGAGGCAGGGAATGTTTGGCAGGACAGTAAACCCAGGACTGTTTTCCTGTGGACTTTGTTTGCCTTACCTGGGGGTCTGTGTGAGGGTGATGTAAAGATACAAGTGTACGACAAACAGTAGATTTTACAAAGGAGGAAACTTGCATTATGTAGAGTTTTGGATAGGACAAAAAGAAGGGAATGAAGCTGTGGGACAAATATAAAGCTGGGATTTTAGTGTGATTTGTGGTGATGTGTTAGAGGTAAGGATGGAAGAGAACAGCTGACATGGAGTTGGAAAGATACATTTATGAAGTACACTATAGCAATTGTTACTTGTTACTTCATTTTTTTCTGTGGTCTTTTTTGTTTTAAGGTAATGAGGGAATACTGGCATGCCAGCTGCTTCCATCTGTGCCCTGCCTGCTGCACTGCCGGACTCACTCAGGGATGTTGGCTGTGTGGTTCAGATCACCTTGTGCTGCTCTTCCAGATAGTTTGCTCTACCAGTGTCAAAAGGTGATGGGGGAATCCTAATAACAATAGTGCCTGCCTTAATCTGTTTGGTGTGTGAAAAGACTTATACAGTTGCACAGATAATTACCAAAGCTAAACTAAGATACTGCTTCTTGAAGTATTAGAAGTTTTCTTCCAGCTGGCATATGTCATGTGGACTTGTGGGGGAAGAACAGTGACCTAAGTTACGCCTGCAAAAACATGCTCAGGACTGTACAGTACATTAAAGTATTGTAACCTGTTTCAGTGAAATGTATATTTCTTAATTTTGTTGTAAATGACTGAAAGTATTTATTTTTATTACGCAGCTTTTATAGATGCCAACAGTTACTTCTCATGGCAACTACTTAAATATGATTTTAAAGAAAAACATATTTCCATTATAAGGTCAGACTTGATCAGTTATCAGGATCATCTAATTTTATTTTGGTAATTTTTCTAAAGCTATTTTTAAGCACTGCTGGCAACAAGACCCATACTGGTGGTTGTATAAAGTAACTTATGTAGCAACAAATGCACAGTTTTAAAATAGTTGAAAGATTCTAGGGAACAAAACACTTCCCATGATCTTTGATATTTACCATGGAAGTGGCAACATCTAAACAGCCTTTAGTTAGGAGTCAGGCATGTGAGATGATATGGAAGCACCTCCTGGGGGATGATCTAAGGCCCAGGTTAGTCCCTGTCTGCAGTTCTTCCTGCCTCGTGTTTCAGTCTTGTTCCCTTTCCACAGGGGTCTGTGGCAGGCACTGAATATTTGTGCATCTCTAAAGCAAAGTTTGATGTGAGTCAAGTCTGAGGTGACTGAGCAGGGGGTAGTTGGCTGTGGACACGCTGACTTTGGTTGTTGTTGTGTAGTGTTCATTGCTCTCCAGTCAATCCTGTAAACTTAATCTGGCCAACATCCCTTCCATGAAAATTCACATGGGGAAGACTTTCATTTATTTTTACTTGTAATTATTTATAAGCTCAATCTGACTCCTCAAACCTTTGACTTGCACAGATGTTGTTTGTGCACTGCTAGGAACTGCAGCAAGGCATCAGATTAAATCAGAGCAGCATACATGGAAACTGTGTCTGAGGAGCTTGTTTTCTCTTCCTGAAATAACCTCACAATCTTGAAAATCCAGCAATCTTAATTTATTTAAATGCTAAATGAAAACTAGTACTGCTTAATATTATTTATAGCTGGTCATGTTTTCTATTTAAAAACATCAAAGGTTGTACACACGGTTCAGACACGGTATAAATGGATTCCTCAGTGGAATTCTCTCCTTTGTGTGTTTAATAGTAACAAGGAAACTCTGTTATATTTCAGAATTACTGATTCTCACCTGATAAGCACTGGTTGTAAAGAAAAATAAAGTATTGTTACTTTGATGTTTTGGTAAATGTTGATGAAACTGTCGTAGGAATGTTAATGTGCTGATAGTTTGGGGTTTTTTTAAGTCAAGCTACTTGTGTTATCACAAGTATAATCGTACAAGCAAAGCTGTTTTTATTGCTGTTTCAGTACCCTCTTACTGAGGAATTTAAAGTGCACTGAACCTGTAAATATATTTAATGTTCTGCATACTTTAATGTTTACTTGGCACTTCAAGACAGTTTATATAAATGAAAACTGATTTATAGTGGAATAATTTCCAGCAAACTATTTCCCTGCTGGTAAATTGTGTTATGCAACTGGACTTCTGTAATCATAGGAACTATAATACAAATATCTGTTTGTGGCCTATGCATTCAAACTATTTCAGCAATGAGATGTTCTATGTCCTAGTGTTTAAAAAGAACAGCAAAAGGCAAGCAATGCCTTCTGTTGTTCATGTAATGTTCTTTGTAACCTTTTTCACTGTATGAATAATATATGTGAAAGTGTCAATATTCTAATTGCTTCATGGTAACACCACTTAAAGGAGTTTGCAGGGAATTGTACCTGTGTTGGTCTTTATTTTGCATTTCTTGCAGTTTAATAAAATTCAGTTTTGTTAAGAAAAATTAGCTTAATACTTGTTACATGTTCTTTGCCACCACATGTAGCAGTGTTTCTGCATATTAAGAACTAATTTCTATTTTAATTGTTTCTCTTTGCATCTGGACAGTGAAGAACATTGTAACACTACAGAAGTCTTGAATCCATTGGTGATTTAAATATCCTGTGTTTCACTTGGAGATACCAGAAGACTGCAAGACTACACTTTAGATCTTTGGAACAGCATTCTGTGTGCCAGCTCACATTATCCAGCCCTCTTTCTGGAATCCTGCCAGATTGTGTGTTTTGGTTTTAGGCATCACAAGAGACTTGAGTATCTCTTGTTATTCATAGCTGACAGGAATAGCATTTTTTTAAGTTCAATACTAACATAAGAAAGCACTGCTATAGAGTGCTATATTGGGAGCTTGGGGAGTTTGCCATAATGGCTGAACTGCAGGTGGCTGCAGCCCTGGGCTAAGTCAGGGGGCTGGTTTGTGTAAGAAAGCTGCCAGTGTGTAACAGGAGTCCTGGCTGAGCTGGGGAACTCAGGCCCTTGAGAACCTCAGCAGTTCAGTGCTGGAAATCCCTCTGATCTTCATCCATCATCCATCTGTCTCTGAAATATGACTGCTTAGATAATTATCCAAAGGAATATTTTTCCATTTAGTTCCATATTGAAAATCCTTTTGTGAGTATCTTCCTCCTCAATGGTGTTTCCATTTAGTTTTCTTTGTGACTTGGTAGATCTTGAAGGCTTAGGCTGTTTTCCAGGAAAGGGAAATAAGGTGCATAGAAACAGGCTAGAAGGAAGAGAGCACATGGCCAGTTTGCATGAAGAAGTTTGCTTTCAAGAGGCAACCAGAGGCCAGTCAGCATAAACTGACCTTTCTGAACTGGCAGGTTAACAATGTTTGGACCAAACCCTGGGTACCAGGAGGCCTCACTGTTTTCCTGCTGTGTGCCATGGGCAACTTGGAATTCTGGACGTTTGGGAGTCTACAGGTAAGTGATTGTATTGGATCCATATTTCAGCTCTTTGGTCAGCTTCTCCTTCCTTACCCCATGTATTTTCAGATATCTTTAATGAAACAATACTTTGTTAGGAAAATGGAAAGAAGTGCAGCATGGCAGTATGATGTAGGATATTTTCCTAAATACAGGTTAAATCTCTTGTGGTATATTACTTTCTGCTAGTTATTCCCAAATCCTCCTCATCTTTTAAGGACCCTGAAGAGTAAATTTGTGTAATGGATGGCACTATCTTGAGGTTTTCCTGTACTTGTGAATCGCTTATAAATGACATTGATGGTTTCTAAATATTGGAAAGGTGTTGGTCTCCTATAGAATCCTACCAGTAGTTTTTCAGCATAAAGAGCTGTATTATCTTTTTCTTTGTGCATTATCTCTTTCTGGCATTGATTTATGTAAAAATGGAAATAGACACGCTTAAGTCATCCAGGTAAAAGTTGCTTTTGCATTTCAGTTGCTGTGGTAAGAGTTAATTGTGCTTTACCTCTTGGTTCTCTTCAGGGTCAGCTATTTATGTGCCTTTCTGTAAGAACATTTTTCTAGCACAAATCAGGTCACGTGCTCAGTGTGAAGTGCTGCTCAGTGGTACAGGGGCCATTTCATTAGAGTGCTAGAAGTGGTCACTCCCATGAGAGTTTCTTAAACATTAACGTTTTTCTCTTTATTACATAAAGTTGGTGGTGATGAAGCAAAGAATATTGTGTCCTGCCATGATGTGATTCATAAAATTAGCTTGACAGCAATACTTTACCAGCAGGGAGGTTCAAAGCACCACTTAGGAAGATTGCTTTAAACTCAGATTTTAAGGTAGCTGTCAGTTTTCTCTTTGTGCCAGCCTTTAATTGCTTTCAGTATAATTGCCGTGTGAGTTGTTTGCAAATCCTGAGCTCTTTCAGCCAAAACAGTTTGCTTTTTCTGGGAATAAGGATGGGAGAATATGTGCTTGCTGTTGTTAAAACATTCTGGTAGGTTCTAGCACCTCCATGTTTAGGGCAGGGCTTTCAAATCTGCCAGGGATGTGTCTTCCTTGTAGTTTAAATCACATGGAGCTAAACTGAGCTAAATACATCATGGAAAACTTGCAAGAAGGTGCTGGATAGTGAGATCTTGGCCTGTGCTGTGTTTTACCCCTGGCCTAGGCTGCCTGTGTCTCTCCCAGGCACCGGCTCAGGCTGAGCCCAGGGAGAAGTGGTACCTGAGGGCAAAAAGTCTATGCCATTTCCTCCCCGTGGCTTATGAGGGAGTTTCTGAGCTTGGTGATGGGGCTGCTCTGCTAAACTAAGCGAGTCAGCATCATTTGGGAGCTCAAGTGCTGGAGAACTTTGTGGAAAAACAGAAATTCCATTTGCTGCTGACACATGCTGGTGTTGGGTGGGTGTGATTGCAACAGGAATGGTAGAATAAATGAATCAAAAGGAAACAAAAAAGGCAGTAATCACACATTTTTAATCCACAAATGTGATAATACATAATATACTTAAGGTGACCTGAACATTGCCCATATTTTAGCAATGTTATTACATACCAAGCTACAAGTACAAAAGTAAACGAATATACAGGATACGCAAGTATGAGAAATACTTGAAAACACCTCTTCCTTTAAGGCTACTCAGATTATATATAAATAAAACAACAGATGTTCAGCTGGTGTGTCTAAAATACCAGAATCTGAATATTGATACTTGCAACACACAAAAAGTCACAGGTACAGGATATCCCTTTCCTTTGGACATCTTAAATGTTGAATAATCTCTTTTTCTGGCTTTCGAAAAAAGAAATTTGTTTGCCACAAATGAAACACACAAAATCTGATGTGTGTGCACTGGGACAGGAGCACTGGATACAATAAATACTGTTCAAAAGCATCAATTGACAAGTACGTGCTTGGAAGAAATGCAGGTAATGTGCATGTAAATATGGCTCTGCAAACGGCTGCACTTGCAACCCCAACTGTTGGTATTTCATTACTGTTTTGCAAAGGAGTTGTCCACCTTCACTGCTACTAAATACACTTCTTATGGTTAAAGGAAATAGGTGGGGAAAATTTCCATTGTTGCAAACTGCTCTGCTACTGTCTTTCATTTTTACCGTGTTTCAAATGAGTTCTGGGAACAGATGAAATCCATCTAGCACAACCCAAGTGAATATGTGAACTGGGTATATGTGTTCTCATCTGTATAAGGTTGTGATAGTAAAAATTGTTGTTGCAAGAGATAAAATACAGTTATTCTGGGGTGAGAAAAGACAGAATAATAATAATTTTTTGGAACAGTTTTCTCTACCACCATAGTATTCAAGAGTTTAAATGAAATATTTTTTTCTTATCCTAAAGTAGTGAGTGATCAACCCTGTAAGCTTCCTTAAAAGAGAAATGGCTTTCAAATATATTTTCTTGTCTTTATCAATTTTCAAGTACATGCATCTCTGTATTATATATACATGAAAGGGAAGGTGTTACCTCTAGATAATGGCATTGTCTGCTCTCGGTGCCAGATGAAAGGAGAGGGTACCTGATACTGCAGTGTCAGGAGCTAGAGCTGGAGGATAAGATGTAGAAGGCAAGGAGAGGAGACATTTCTGAACATGCTTCCTTTACTGTGGGTCAGTCAGCACCTACCCAGATTCTACAAGTGGCAAAGCTGGTGTATTTGCTCTGCTCCCATCCTCCCTTCATCCTAAAAGGACTGTACAACCCCCACTCTTTCTTGGCAAAATGTTTTCAGCTTGAAGCCATTAAAAAAAAAAAAAAAAAAGCCACTGAAAACATTCGGAACAAAACTCATTCCAGAAGCTCCCCAGAGTCCCTAAGGCTGCTCTTGTTTAGCTACTGTGAATATGCTACACTCAGAGGCACTGCAAGAAGAGGGGATGGGCTTCCTGATGTGTCCCACCTCTGATTGCTGTAGGCACAAATGTCATGGGCACATTAAACCAAGAGTGGTATCGAGGCTGAATACTTTGAAGACAGGGGATGGAAATGGTGGTGTCTCAGTCGTGCTTCTCACAAGGGCAATTTCAAAATCTTCACAAAGAGTATTTTATTCTGTCAGGCAGAACAGTAAGAGCACAAAGAGCAGCACAACCTTCAGCCTAAACTCGCCTGGTGGTACCCAATACACAAACCCTGAGCGTGGGGGAACTGCAGGACTGTTTTAGTTTTCTGGTTACCTTTGAGCTTCAACCACTGAGCTCATTTTCAGAATTAAAATGAAGCCTTCTATTAGCAGGTATAAACCAAAACTCTGATGAAAATATTGCTTCCTAGAGCAGTTCTTTAAATTTTCTCCCACTTCTACTCTGTTTGTATGATTTGTTATTCCCCTATTAGACTATACCATTTAAATTAAGAGAGGTCTTCTCATATTAATTCCTGATCCCTTTGAAAGGAGTGAACTCAATCCATTACAGCCCTACTTTCTGTCAAAGCTTTCTCAGGTAGCGTGGAAATAATAAAAATATATGCACCAAGGGCCTGGGGGTAAATTCCACGGGTTGCTCTTGCCTTCACCTGTCTATTTTTACATAGCCATGCACGTGAGTTTCCTTTCTTTTCTCGTGTTCAGCCTTGAACACAAAGCTAGCAAGATCCTGCTGCATGGCAATCTCTTTCTGAACAACACACGTCAGCAGCCTTGTTCACTCCACTCCTTGAGAAAGACTGGATTATCTGAACAGAATATTAAGAGTGATAGCTTTCTGATTTAAGTCTTCCACTTCATCATGAGCCTGGTGAGCACTTTCTGGGCCCTGCTGGGTCTGTAGTAAGACTGATGGGAAGGAAGCTCGCTTGCCTACCACGGCTCATGAAGGGTGGCCAGTCCTAGAGAGAAGTTTTTGTTTGGTTTCTTGCTTCTGAGCGTAGTTTCAAAGAACCTTCTCATCAAGTAGTTTGTTGATGCCATTGCAGATCTTTTTGAGGTACGGCCGACAATCCCCATCCAGGCTGTAGAGGGCAGTTAGAAATTCCACATCCGCAAAGTGGTTGAAGACGTGGTTGATGCGCCCGTGGGACCGCGGGGTCAGGTGCCGACCTACGAGTTCGTGCACAAGGTCTTTGCACTCATTGAGAAGTTCTGCAAGCACGTTCCTGTCAAAAGTGTACTCTACCTCGTAGAAGCTGACGATTGTCATGGCAGTTTGGTTCAGCTTCTTCCTGAATTTGTCTACGATCTCCAGCTCTTCTTGGTTGAACTGATTGTTTCGGTAGAGGATCCCGATTTTTATTGCCACTTTAATCAGGTCTTTCATAATTTTATGGGCTTCCTTTTTGTTTCTTGTGTGTTCCTTCGTTACTTTGTACAGCTCATCAAAGATTTCACTGCTTGTGTCATCGATCAGCATGTTAGCCATGGTTTTAGTTGCCATTTTACTCAGAATCTTCTTCTGGGCTTGCAATGCAAGATTCTTGGAACTGAAATAATCAGGACCTGGTTCAGGATAGAAAAAAGGGAAAACGTTTATTTGGTGAATTAGTTTTGCAATCAATTAAGAAAAGTAGTACCCACATGCTTAACTGAGACATTGATTAACTGACATATTCTCATGACTGCAGTAACAGGAACACTTCCAACGCATTATTTCCAGGTGTTCTTGGTGTTTTAGACATTCATGTTTCAGGTCTTGCTGTCACGTTATTTGCTTGCACATAAAACCCAGAATATTCTGGCAGGGGATATCTATGCTGATGCTTTGATAGTCTTTTAATTTTGAAGTTCAATATTAAAGCTTTCTTAGCAGAGAGATCTTCTGAGATGTTGTGGTCAAAATAACGCATAAAATATCAGATACAAGCAAAATGAGATACTGACAAACAATATATGAACCTCAGAGAGTTACACTTTGGTCATTGGGAGGCACTGTTGTTCTACAGTTATGCTAAGCAGCATCTCATATAAGGGCTGATAAAGCAGATCCATAAGCAAGGATTTATTTTGCCTTGATGTCTAGTAATAATAATGCCTTCCCCTTTTGTT